TTTTTACCATTTATTTACTCTCACAGTAATACGGGACAAGGTGCGTTCCTTTTCCACTAAAAACGGAACAGGTGACGCTAACGGTACCATTGCTAGCTGGGACACTGCTTCTAAGGGTGGAGATTATTTCTTATATAAAAGTTGTTTCTTGAGGAAAGACCAAAGTTTGAACCCTGATCAAATGACGGCGCCCCCAATCACCTGGTCAACAGGTACTGAAGTCATCCACTAATTACACAGAAGTATTTTCCTTAAACTTTATATTAAAGGTAGAAACCGGCTTGATAAAAGCGACTTTCTGCTTTTAGAGAGAAGAGGAGAGTTCAGAACAGCAGAGATGGATCTCAGAGTCATGATGTCCACAGAGCTGCTGACCAACCAGACCTGGATGGTCCACACAGAGTGACATCATAGCTTTCATTGGTTGGTTTGAAACCAGGACGATCCGTTACACCTGAAACCAAATAATCCACCTCCCTGTGTGGAGATCCAGCTGCTCTGACTTCTGCTACAACGACACCTTGATGCTAACATGATCCTCAGAGAGAACTTCCCACCAGGAGGTTAAATCCTCACAGAGATTTTTTGGTCAGGAACCAGAACTTTGGACCATCAGGAGAGGATTGGTCCTGATTCTGTACCTAGAAGGTTGAAAGATCGACACGGTTTTGATGAATTATGATTTTATTCTTCAGTAGGTCTCATGTTCTTTTCTCAGCAGCGTCCAGGATGGCGCCCACACTGTCTTTGGCTTCCTGCAGCAGCTCAGACACTCTTCTCTTTGTCTGAAGCAGCAACAGAAGCAGAATTAATGCTGATCCGACTAAATGAAAGGTTTAAAGGTCGGAGTTGAACTTACTGCCAGTTTGAAGGCCTCGTCTGAGATGTCTTTGAGGTTGATCAACACATTAAAGTACGCTCCATAAACGGCTGCTTCCAGGGCTTTGGCTGCAACCTGAATCACAGGTAGGAAGACTTTAGTCTGTGAAACGTTCTACGAAGCTATGAACTACAATGTTCATCTAGAAAAAGAACAAATAGAGAAGATCAGATGTTTTATTCTAGAGCAAAGCTCCAAAGTTCTACCTGAGCATCGGACTTGCAGCCAATGTTTCCGTAGAGAACCATCTGTTTCAGAGGCGGCCAGAGGACGTTGATCTTCTGGGCCAGAGCCAGAGGGACGCCCACAGCCTGCTTCAGACCTTCCTGCACTGCAGCTTCTCGTCTGCAGGCAGAAACAACACAGGCTCCAGCAGCAGAAGATAAACAGGAAGTGATGTTCTCAGGATCAGAACTTTCACCTTTTCATCTCCTCTTCAGTTTTCTTTGGCATTTTCAGAGCCACCTGTAACCCAGACAAGCAGGAAAACAGATGAAGAACCAAAATCATGACTCAAAGCACCAGTAGGTGTCTCTGTTGTGTCTGCTCACAGCGTCTCTGCATATTTCTCTGCACAGGTGCATTTAAGTTTATTTATTTAACTAATTCAGATCAAAATTAGTTAATTCAGTACATTCTGGGTTTTTACTGGCGGTATTTAGCAGGAGACGGTAGGACTAAGCAGCTAAAGTGTTCTAACTTTAGGAAATAAAGGTTTTCTGAACTTAATACATCAATAACAGAAACTTTCATTTCACATCAATTACCGAATCAATTAAGGAGGTGAAACATAACTATGATGTCACCCTTTCACCTTTGATTTTCTAGAGG